TTCAACCGTGTTGTAAATAGTTTTGTGTTGCTTGTGGTTCGGTTTAGATGTTAAGTCAAGGAAATAATCCCTATGTTGTTTACAGTTCCTCAGGTGCACACGACGGATGCAATGTGTACATTCAACAGGTACTCGGCCCACTGAACTCATCAAGCAGAAAAAAAGGTCGACCGACGCTAGGGAGAGCGTGTAGGTTAGGACAGTTACATTTGTTCATTTCTCACTTAACTTTGAGGGAAAAATTTTACCACTCCAAAAACATCAACAAAATGTTTGATCTGTTCACACGATGACTTAGATCCGACCCAAGATTGTTAAATTAGCCGAGAGATCCAAACAGGGGAATTTATAAATTAGTGAGATAATACAAAAAACAAAATACTATATGTCACTATTCTTGGGAAAACCTTGATGGTACTAAAGACGTATTTAAACCAGTATTTTAACCAAGACTAGGAAGTAGATTCCAGTGTGTTATTGTTTGTGTCAGGGACGGAATTTCGATTTTGGTTGTGGTTGTTATATACAAAAATAACTTGTGTGGTACATTTGTAAGTGTCACGGTACCCCCACCTTTCATACACTTGGGAACCTAAAATTGACCAAACTTGGAGGGAAACGTCGTTCTTGGTAGTTTGTTTGTAAGGATATCAACGTTATAGTCTGGGACGTGTTGCCAGTCCTTCCTTAAAACCTTGGTAAGAGAAATGTTTGCAAAAAGTCAAGCGTTATACGACCCTCAGACCACACTTCAGCGAGAGAACTCCAGTAGGTTGTCGTAGAGTTACCCAACTCCGCCTGACTGACTGACCCGGTGCAGGTCTCCACATAAAAGAAGACAACTTCGGTTAAGACAACAACTAAATGAGACACGAACCAGCAACAGGGACACGTAGTGGTAGAAGACACTCGAAGTACCACCTGTTCTCCGGATTCAAAGGTCGTTGTTCAGAACTAGTGAAACTTCTTTAGTAAAAAGGCAGCTACTTACCGTTAGCAGGTCCGGGACTCCGTCGTTTCGGTCGGGGTTTGGTACTACGAGGGAGGTGGTATGAAGTGTTCACCTACTCCAAAAACTACACCACACGACCACGGGACAAAAATGGGTGTGTCAACGCACACACAGGAAGGTTTTGTTGAGTTGAACAGTGTAGACGGTGGTTCTTTATAAAACGTCCACGGAGAAAACCGGTTGAAGTTGCACGTGTACTTTTAAAAAGAGTGGCTGTACGTCAACCGGAGGAGGTAAAATACTGGTTGAAAATACGTCTTTAGTCATTCGAAGTTGTTCCCCAAGTGTATAAAAGAACGTGACATGTAGATTCAGTTGTTTCCAATAATGCTAGTGGGGGACTGTTTTGCATATAAATTACGGAAATTGTATTGAAAGTTTTGGTCATTTAGGTTAATTTTACGTTATCCTTTATTAGTATGTCATTAAATTGTTCTTGTCTTGAACGTAATGACATATTAACTAAACTAGTTTTATTGCCTTATTGTGTAACATTATATTTTTTAAACTGTCGTGTTAGAAGGTGGACAGGACTGGGGATTTACGTTGAATCGTATCTTATTACGGTTTAAAAGTAATTCTAATAATTTTTTATCTTGCCCGATTTTCAGTACAATAGATAAAACTTTTTACCGTTATTACACAAAACGTAAGAGAGACTTGTCCGTAACAGTTTAGCGGGACCGACCTCTTGAAGTACTCGTACGTCACATCCCTCGACAAAGTTCTCAAATTTAGGACTTTATGTAGGGGGCAATGTACTAACGTAGTTTCCATTCTAATTGTACTGGAATCGGGCAGAATTAAAAAATTATTAGACTTTTATCTCTTATAAATCGTAATAGATAGATTCAACGTAATCCCACGTCCTGTCCACTTCTACCCGGACAGTTTTAAAAATATAATTCGTTTCACATAATGCAATAAACTAGGTTCTAGTTACATTATGTTCATTCGTTCAACAAGAACATTAGCATACTAAACTAAAAGGATAAAACGGTAAATTAACTATATATTGACCAACCTTTCAATACAAATTTCGTAATTTTATAAATGTCAAACCAGTCCCACTAGGCATATTGAACAACTGGAATCTTATTGTCAACCGTTTTCTTTTTTCATACACTTGGGGAAACCTTAATGGACCTAAAAGACGTATTCAACCAGTATTTACCTCCATTTCGGTGACGACAGCTCTTTTTTAGTAACGGACGGTGAAAACTTCTAACGTTTTCTTCGTGGGACGTTTTATAAGCACTGTCTACTTTGGTTTCAACTCACAAACCTTCCTATTTGTGTTGCGTTACACACTATTTTTTTTTCCGGTGTTCGTGTGGTTGTAGTTTTGCAGTAGGGTTGACACTTCATCCACCTCCTCGTAGGTACCAAACCCGACGAAACGAACGGAGTCCCGGACCTGTTCTAACGGTTTAGTAGTTCTGCCTTTTACTAAGAGTTCAACTGTTCTGTAAAACGGACCGCTTGAATTCCGAGGTAGACAGGTGGTTAATTCGAGTTGTCTTCTCCACTACGTTGTCCTGTGCGGGTTTCGTGTCTTTCATTAGTTGTTGTCTTACCGAAGTTTGTCTCTTTTATGGAAGGACCTCACGGGTCAGTTCAGGACTGCGAGTTGGGTTAACTCTACGACACCGTACTGGAGTTTCTCGCTTAAGTGTGGTCTGTAGGGTTCTTTATAACGACTTGACTTTGTCAAAACATTTCTCCTTACCAGGTTTTTAAGGAGGACTGGCAACACGTTCCAGACTATACCGTTGATATCTTTACAAACCAACTCCAATTAACGACGGTTTCCTTCCAGTTGGTCAATATTTTAGGTTCCCAAGTTGTTGAAAAAGGGTGGACGGTGACATTACAATGTCCACACAAGTTATTTTTTAGTATATTAACACCACACCAAAAATCGACATTCGTCTGACACATACAGTAACAACACTGAATCTACTTCTAGTCTTGTGTTAAAAATCCTGGTAAATACGTCTTTTAGGTCCATCAAGGTTTCCAAGAAAGTTGACATTATAGTATTTTTGTTTTGCATATCTTCACTAAAATTTATAAATTTCCCTTGGATTCTTCTCGGCCTATTTCATCTTTGGTCGGACTGAGTCATCGGTGAACAGATTCAACATTTTTGTTTATGTTTTTAGAGGTAAAATTTTTCCTCTGAGTTTAAGTGAGAAATGAACAAATGACCTGTCCTTACCTCACTGCTCTCCCCTTTAGTCGGGTCGGGCGCACCTTCTTTTTTCTCTTTGATGGAGTTCAGTGGGCCGAGTTACCGTGTGATGTACACCATCTGCATTCCCGTCGTTTGCACCTGAGGACTGTAAAAACAGGGGGGATTTATTCCTTGATTAACATCTAACCGACCACAACGCAACACAAACCCTAAAAGGAGCAAAAGGTGTTTAAGGAGCAGCGACATGGTATTCATATCCAAAGAATTTAAGATTATTCTGTACATCTGGATTATTGGAGCCAAAATGCTTTTTATTTATATTATTATCTTCATTTCAGTTTACACCACGTTTAATTCTTATTGGTTATCACTTCCGGCTATTGTTTTAGCCTCTCTGCGGGGCTTTTGCCGCTACAGTACACCTTTGTTTTTTTTAAGATAATGTAAGAACTTGTATTTCAATAAGTTTGCAGTTTACTCTTTAGCCTTATTGCCACTGATTTGATAAAGTGGCTGCAAAATGCATAAGAACTGTATTCACACATCCAAGTGGCTTGACAGCTTTATCCGTGTTTATTCATGCCTCTCCTACTTTTAAGCTGATTTATTCAAACTAAACATGTTTTCCAGGGAACCTTCCAGCAGATGTGGATCTCCAAACAGGAGTACGAAGAGGGAGGAAAGCAGTGTGTAGACAGGAAGTGCCCTTGATTTGTTATCCAGCCCCTCCATCACTGTCATTTCTTCCATAAGCTCAACATCATGAGTCACCCAACCTTGACCCTGGACTCAGGAACGACCACAGATGATCACTCTTGTTTTGTATGATTTGTTTAAAAAAAAAATCTTAAGAGTCTGTCTGAGATTTTGAAATCAGACATCTGCAAAGTAAACTGTTGCTATGATGAAATGGAGTTTACTTTCCTTTGTTTGTCTCTTTACAGCCATTTTGTTACCTAATCTTTACATTGTCTGTGTTTTGTAGAAACACTCCATCTTTATAGAAAAAACTAATTGTCTGACGTTGACAAAAACCAAATTTGAAGGTAAACTTTGGAGGAATAACCTTTCAGTTTGGGGTGAATGATGTTTTCGGTTCATAAGCCTTTCTTTGTGTAGTCAGTACGATCGTCAGAGGCCAGACAGTTCTGGCCTCTGCTTATTGGTGTCAAGTCATATAAACCTGTATTTAATTTTAAATGAACCACATATGGTGTTTTAAAAATAAAGTCAGTTTTTGTTAAATATGTGATGAAAGTATAATTTCTTGCTTTAAAATGTAAATGTATTTTTTGTTCTAATTCTTGTATTACATGACATTTTTATTATTGTAAAGTTGCATTCTTAAAGGTGGGGTAGGTAATTCACTTCAGTAACACTTTGTTATATTCCATGGAATGCTCTTAACATCCCGATTTCAATGAATAAATTAAATGCTTTGACAATAAATATATACAAATATTTCATCTGTGGAAGCCGTGGCGCTGTAAAAAGCACGACCAATGATCTTCCTCTGCAGATAATTGGATGGCCTACCTGCCTGTCAGCCTTCCATCTCGTGCCCTCATTGGTCGTGTTTGTTGGAGGAGGGGCTCTGTAAGGAAGTCTGAAGGGGCAGATTTTTTTCAGTTGTGCACTTTCAAAATTCTAGCGCACTCGAGCTAGTTTCTCCATTCTTACCTACCCACCTTTAACTCAAATGATCCCAAAACTTGAAAAGGACAGTTCCCACTAAATGTAATGACCCATTATATACTAATTTTAGGGACTAGTAAAACAAGATAACCAAAACTCAATGCATATTTTAATAGTAAGTTAAAAAAAAAAGATTTCAGGGGGATGTAGAATAATTTATCTTCCAGGAACAAACAGCTGGACAAATGCACTTATACTCCACATAGGACACTCAGTTATTTGACACGAGCAGATATAAATTGAATTCTAACTCCTTGATTGTAAAAAGTGCATTTGAATTTTTTTACGATGCAGAAACTTTCATTTGAGGGAACTTCTCCTTAAGTTTCGACCGATTTCCCCTCTGTAAGGAGGCTTCCCTGGCCTTCCCTCGGAGATGCTTCTCCAAGCGCAGCCTGCAAGACAGAAATCATCATTTTTTTTAAAGAGAATAAGAATTTTATAATATATAAGATAAGACATCTTGTACATCTACTAAAACTTATTTTAAACCGTAACAAAGGCACAATAGTGATGTGAGCCGTATCTTACCTTATGTGTGGTTGGACAAACTTGGGTGTGAAGAACCTCTTTCGCTTATACCTCGTGTTCATGTACCAAGGAATAGCATATTCTTTGTAGCGATACCTGAGTAAAAGAAAAGAGTAAATTAAGCCACTTCCTACATTTCATTTTCTAAAGCCTGGGCCCTTAGAGGTATGGTTATTATATAACAGACCACCTGCAGGAATAATATTTGTCTACAAAAGAAAGGATTGCAGCATAACTTGGTGTGTTACCACCACCTGTTGATCAATGGAATAGGGTAAAACACACAGGAGCACGCCCAGAACTTAACACTGGTATAACTTCTTTGATAAATCCTTCCTTCGACTGCTGCAAACGTATAGATCCACGTACAAGTCACGTAAACAGCCATGACTACGCTCTTCATCACTGTCTCCATCTCCTCGGTCTGTACAGAATTTGGTAGAAAGTATCTGCCCCGAAACCCTCTGCAACCCAAACTATCCAGTATGACTATTCTAGGGCATTTTAAAAGAACTTTAAAGAAAATCTGAAGAGAGCATCCTCTGTAATTGGCTCATTTGAATACGATCGCTTTGGTACTTATCTTAAAGGAGACCTATCATGCTATATTTAAATGATATAGTGTATGACCATACCTATAAGGTATATTTATACATTTTATTTTTCAAAATACCAAACAGATCATTTTTTAGCCATGCCTCGTTTCGCTCATTTTCGCTCTATTCCAAGCCTGTCTTTGAAAATTCTGAGCAGCAGCTGACCACGCCCCCCTGCAGAAGAGGGGGACATGAGCCGGCGAGAGTCACGTTACCATGTTTGCTGTGATTACGAGTGTGGAATAAACATGTCATCTCAGAGCAATGCATGTGTTCAAGCATATTATCAATTTGATCCAGAAACTGACCCTGAAGCAGCGGAGGTTTTGGTGGAGGTGCAAACATCTCGGTTGCAGCAGGACGTTTCTGAATGGTTAGTTGACAACATACTTGTCAACCCTCCCGAATTTTCGCGGGAGATTCCCGATTTCATTGCCCTCTTTAGATTTAATGTTTGACATGTGTACGTAAGACGATTAATGGTTTTACTACTGCCTTATTCATCCGTTCGTAGCATTGTTTGTCTCATTTTATTTATCCCTGTTGTCGAACAGTTGGTATGAACGGTTGGAATCTGGAGTCTTAGCCCTCGTAAAGGTTTTACGGTCTTTACCCCCCCTCCACGATCACCTAGTGGCCTCGACAATCTAATTGTAATTTGTACGAATAACATCAACATTCACGTGACGGAACGCCGGACATCGTGGCAGGAACTACCTCGTATGTCATACACACCCAACCTGACATAAAATGTCCTTTCCTCACTCGCTCTCATCTCATGCCATCAAACAGCTAAGAACAAGACAAAGACACTTATAGACGGAATGGAGAGTCTGAAACTCAACGCGCGCGATGATTTCTCTGCACAATGGTACCTTTGGTTTGGTTACCACATCGACATAATTTCAGGCTCACCTTTGTCAGCGCACATTTAGACTAAACATTCTTTAGCCTCTTTATACTGGGGCCCTTCNGAACTTGTATTTCAATAAGTTTGCTTTTTAGCCTTATTGCCACTGATTTGATAAAGTGGCTGCAAAATGCATAAGAACTGTATTCACACATCCAAGTGGCTTGAGCCACTTGGATGTGTGAATACAGTTCTTATGCATTTTGCAGCCACTTTATCAAATCAGTGGCAATAAGGCTAAAAAGCAAACTTATTGAAATACAAGTTCTTACATTATCTTAAAAAAAACAAAGGTGTACTGTAGCGGCGAGAGGCTAAAACAATAGCCGGAAGTGATAACCAATAAGAATTAAACGTGGTGTAAACTGAAATGAAGATAATAATATAAATAATAAGCAACGGCAAAAGCATTTTGGCTCCAATAATCCAGATGTACAGAATAATCTTAAATTCTTTGGATATGAATACCATGTCGCTGCTCCTTAAACACCTTTTGCTCCTTTTATTAAAAAAACACTTCCTAGTATATAANACATTTCGGAACTATATCGGAACTAAAGTGGGAAAAGTACTGCGGTGTGAACACGCCTATTGGATTAACCTTCAGCAGCGTTTTTATGAATTGTAATGCCATTGAACACAACTTTTCATCAGAAAACAGCAAAGGTAAGACGTACTTGACATTTTGGCTACGTAAAGCTAAGTTGTGTGTTGTCTGGTGTCGCTGCCGCGAGTTTTGGTTGTGGAGTGATGATACTTATACCATTTGAATCTGTGGAATCTCAGCTTTCATATGATATATTGTTTGTGCAAATCCGATGAAGTATACAATATTTATACCGTGAGTTATGTGCCAAGTGCGTTAGCACTCTTTCGCTTAGTGCTAATTCAGACGCTTGGCGTTAGAGTTGTGTTTTTGTTTCGGTAAAAATGGTTCATATTGTCAGTTAGCTGAGTTTCTTCCCGTTAAGTGGGTATTACACATTCATAGGTTGTTAAATGTTAAGAAGCCCTCAGACGCTGTTTCTTGCAAGATGTTGCGTTTAGTCCCAGGGGGTGGGGGCTTGGGGCTTAACAGGTCAAGTGGATTCCAATTTCAATTCCAAAAACTTTGAACGGAGGTGCTGATAACTTCAGGAATACAACATTAAACACTGTTGGGGGTCTAAACATGAGTAAACTGGTGTTACAGGCTTATAGTGTCAAAACAATAAATGAGTAAGAAGGTACAGCAGGGCTCTTTTTAAGTGCCTTGGCTATCAAAACATGGCTGTTTGTGGAGATTGCCTGCAGCTGGAATGTATCTTGTTATCTAATAACTGTGGTGTGGTGATGATCACAGAAAATTAATGAGAAGGTGTTTCAGTACTCACCAACAAGCTCAGAAATCTCCTGTCGTAGAAGCTAGTGGACTTGACGACAAACATTTGCTTTCCATGACCACCACCACCAAAACGCACGGCCACTGTAAGACAAAGGCAGAGGATAGTGTTATGACTATGGTGTTAAGGTCATGATATAAAACTAGACAGATTGTGATTTTTGCTTTTGCGATAGTCATGAACATAAGCTGTAGTATCTAGGAAAGATATTGAGGAATCATTATTCCTCAAATGTTTCTTCTTCCTCTTTAACAGTAAATGGATTATGGTCAATATAAGCAAACATCCTTATTATGATCACTATCAAAATGCTTTTAAATGATAATATAGGGTCTTTAAATGTCAAATTACACATTCCCTTTTATTTAAGCTCTTAACGTCACTCCAGGAGATGGTGTATAAGGCTTGTATAACACTAAATAATGCAGAAATTGGGTGAATTAAAACAATTTTGCAATGTTTTTGTATGAGAAATATGACATGGTTATATGGGGAGAGGTGTTATTCAAACTACATTACAAGTGTTACACCGGCTAACACTATTGGCAGTATCAGAAAGACGGTTAGCTTACAAATATTATATGCTCAAAATACGATATAGCTACACGTAACTAGAAGTACTAAACTACACGTTGCGTGTTCCGTTGACAACAGGACAAATGTTAACAGCTAGCTAACATTAGCATGGTAGAAAGTCCCGGCGCAAGGTCACAAGAAGAGACGGCCAGCTTCAGGGTCAAAATACTCCCTCTTTAAACTGCCATGGTATCTCTTACCTTTATCTGTGCGTGGGATGGTTCGAGACAGTAATTGTGCCGCATTATTTCCAGATTTCAGAGGACTCAATCTGGCTGCAAAAGCAGCAGCAGATCTGAGAACACTCATGCCCACCATCTTTACTTGGGGACGGCCCAATAACACGAGCTCTGATTGGTTGATGACGTTGAGAACAGGAAACCGCCTTTTTTGTATTTTAATGTAATATTGTTTTTAGTTTTATTTTAGTTTTATTATCGTGTACATACATATGGTAACATTGTAACACAGCCATATATTTATAATTGAAAAAATAAAACAATCAAAATAAAAAAAACTTGAGAAATGCATGATGGGTAATGTTGGAAGGACTAGGGGAAAGATGGCGGCGTCCTCTTCAGCAGGACGCGTTTTGACTCTTTGCAAGCAGTTTCAAAATGTCTTTAGGATATCTTCTGCGATAAATACTAAGCATTGTACTGCCACTTTGACCAGATGCCAGCCTCATCTGTACAGGTAGGATACTGTTACAGTGTGTAAAACATGACCTATAAATGACGTTAAAGTCAACGTGTTCCGATCTCATAATGTCTCTGCTCCCCATTAACAGATTGTGTTTCAGTGATTATATATGAAAGGTAACGAGGCATTAGCTAATACAATACGATGAATAACAGTCCTAATAAATGAAGGTTGGACATCTTCTTCATCTTGCATTTATTATGCCACCAGCAGACTTGTGTTGAGTTAATTGACATTGGATTAACTTAAAGAGTCATGGGTTTAGTTATTTGGTTTCTGAATAAAAGTCATGAAATTCTAGTTTCAATTCCTATGCTTTCAATGGGAGGTATTGCCAATCAATGTAGTTTAAACTCACACAGACCACACAGAGCACGTATCTGACAAACCCTAAAATAAATCCTATTATTTTTTTAATTTAAAAAGCAATTTCAAACTTCTATTGCCTTTTTTAAATTATATTTTGAATTTGCATTTGTAATTTAATTTGTATTTGCTAAACTGAACGCGTTAGGGTTTTTTCAAAACGAAATATATATTACACTTGATTAAAGACATTTTCAATAGTTTTTTCTGAAAATGTAAAGACTACACAATGTATTTATTAATCTAAAAGAAATAATCTATAGATTAACAAATAATAACTAAATGTCATTGGTTGCCACAAACCAGCAGTCACTCAAATTAGTTTATTGGTCTGAAAAAAAGGACTAGACATTTTAGAAGTAGCATAATACAATTGTTTTAGGTTTAGTCTAAAACTCATCTTGTTGTGTGCAATTATTTTGCATCTACCAGGGAAACGTCCCCACTCGCTGCCCTGTCTTGGTGCAGTCCTATCAGCGCTGTGAGTCAGTGTCGAGCCCTGCACACCACCGTCAGCAGGAGAGGGCTGGACGAGTTCTTCGACCTGCCTGAGAACTGGGGAGAGAACAACGTGAAGTCAGGTATAACACAGAAGTATTCTATAACTCTAATGGCTCTACAGCCTGCATGTAGCTTTACTAATAGAAATGTGTTTGTTTTAGGTGCACCATGGGCTGCCAAACAACTGAGGACGAAGAGCAATGAGGATTTGCACAAACTCTGGTAAGAACAGTTAGGTTCACACTGGTGCCTCAAACATATGAAACACATTTCTCAGCAGTGTTTAACTCTCGTTCTGTCTCAGGTATGTGCTGTTGAAAGAAAAGAACATGCTGCTCTCACTTGAACAGGAGTCGAGAAGGCAAAGGCTTCAGATGCCAAGTCCAGAAAGATTAAAGAAGGTTGGTATGATGCTCCACTGTCATGCTCTTACAACGTCTTCATTTTAAAGGATAGGAACATTTTTGAATAAAATACTCACCTTCGAATATAGTCTAATGTTCCATCTACACAATATCTCATGTAAACCAAACATTTTTCAATACTTGAAATGAAACAAGACCTTTGTCATATTGATTTGTTGCCACCTGTCGTCTCACCACAGACACTAGTGAACTGAAGCTAGCTGGGCATTAAATAATCATTATCAAAAGTTAAATAAAAGCCAAATGAAAAACACAAAGGGACTATACACATTGATTTCTGTGGGTATAATTGATGATGTTAACTTGAATTTCCCTAATTGCATTTAGTATAATAATCTATATGTGATGATAAAGGCTTCAAGAGTCTGGGAATGTTTGCTTAAGGTACCTTTTTATAGGCTTTATAATCCCTGCTTAATGTAGCAATTCAACATTACATTTGATAGACAGCAGTGTTTCCCATACATTGATTTATTTGTGGCGGGCTGCCACAATTAAATATCGTCCGCCACAAATGGATCTCATAAAAAAAAATATATATATTATTATAATTCTTTTTTTATTTGGTACTCCAATGGATAGTGAGGTGGGCTGATGATCGGAAGGTTGCCAGTTCAAATCCTGCCTGGAACACCACTACTAGTGTGCCCTTGAGTAACGCACTTAGCCCTCGGTTACTCCAGGGAGAATGTCCCTGTAATTGGTCATTGTAAGTCGCTTTGGAATAAGGTGTCTGCTAAATGCCTAAATTGTAAATTTATTTTTTGGGAGAATAAACCCCACAGATCCTCAACTCCGGTGTGTTTCACTCATTAACAACGCAACACAGAGCAACAAGATCGTTGTCTGCAGTAGCCATGAACTCACATGTATTATCTTATT